AGCTAAATCTCAAGAGCTGAAATATTGAGTTAGCCATTTTAAAAACTCGGTCAAAACGAGCCGTTTAACAACACTAGCCATATGACCTATCAAATTGACACATTGATATGCCCTATAAAATTGGTAGGTTTCATTTTTATGACATGTTTGAATTCACTTATTATATTATTTATTTAATTTGAATATTTGAAATTAGAAGATTTTTAAATTATAAAAAATATTTTTAATATATTCATAATAAAATAAAAACAGAAATTTTTAAAGTGAAACTACTAACAACTATGTGATAGATATTATACAACAAAAATTTAAAAATTTTTATATATAAAGACTACTACTTAACACTTGTGATATATGGATCATTATCCATTATATTGTGTGTGGACATCTTACCAATTGGTTATGTGAGTGTTATATGTGAATATGTGAAAAGGTTGCAGAAATCAAAGGCAGAAAATAAATGTTATAGACGTATATTACGTAAATTTATTGATATTTAAATTAAAAAAATATAATGATCACATATTCAAAATAGTTTCCTATATATATTGACAATTTAATTTAATGTAATTTATAATAAATTGATCTTTTTTTAAAAGTTAAAAATAAAAAATTGAACATTAGTTTATTAAGTAAATTGATTTATAAAATATAAAATTTAATATTAGTTTATAAACAAATTGATTTAAAATATAAAAGTTGTTTTTAACAAAAAGAAAGAAACAATTCTTATTACATTTGAAATATTTTAAGTTACGCCATAAATGGCTTAAGGATGTAAAAAAAAAACAATTTTTTAAAGTTAATACTGTTTAACAATATGCTTAAGTGATCGCTAACTTTTATTACGATTGTCTTATCTTATAATATGAATAAATGAATATTGTGTATTGTAGTAATTTTTTTTACTTTAAAATAAATTTTTGTAAAAATGTTTTACCTTAAAATAATTTGAGTTCTTTTACTTTAAAATAATATATTCAACAATGTACAGTTTTTATTTTGTATATTTTGTACATTCATATTACTCATTATAGAAATGTATATAAAGGTTAAAGAAACAAGTGTTGATAAAGAATTAATGGAAATCAATGATAATATTAGGAAGGATGAACTGATAAAAAACAAAACATACAAAAATATGGAGATGGAATTGAGCTTGATAAAAGATTGTCTCTTTAAGGAAAATTTCATTATTATACCGCGAAATATGAGAAATGAGATATTACGAGAATTGCATAAAGGACATCTAGGCGCTGGTACAATGAATCTGTTAGCAAGAGATTATTTGTGGTGATGTGTATTAATACAGAAATAGATCAAGAGGTAAAAAATTGTGATGCATGCAACAAATGGGCGGATAATCCACATAATATACAAAATCCATGGAGAACAGCAATAAAGATATTTGAACGGGTACACATAGATTTTGCACAATTCGAAGATAACAATTATATGGTATTTGTTGACGCATATAGCAAGTTCCCGATAATAAAAAGAATGAAGATTATAAGAACGGTGTCAACTGTAGAAGAATTGATGAGAATAATTAGTTTATGTGGTATACCACACAATAACGGCTCGATTTGAGCCGATTTTTTAAAACGGCTAACTCAATATTTTAGCCAGAAAAATATTGCCTAAGTCTCGAGATTTCGATAATATATGCCTAGACCTTTGTTCCTTCTATGAGCAAAATCTTGAGGCTTGCGTAATATTTTTCTGGACGAAATATTGAGTTAGCCGTTTTTAAAAATCGGCTCAAAACGAGCCATTTAACAACACTAAGTGACAGATAACGAAACTAACTTCACCAGCTACGTATTTAAAAAAATTTGCGAAAATCATGGTATAAAACACATACTCACTGCATCTCGTCATCAACAATCTAATGATCAATGTGAACGAATGGTAAGATCTATGAAGACGAGTATGAAAAGGAATATAGAAAACAACATGAAAATAGACCTAAATACAGCTATGAAAAATTTTTTGTTTAATTATCGAAACACCCTAAATTCTACAACGAATATGATACCCAGCAAATTGATGTTTTCAAGAACAATTAGGACTAAATGGGATGATTAAACCGATGGAAGAAAAGATGTATTAAATAGGAAAATATCAACAAGTAGAGACATAGAAGTAGGAGATAAAATTTGGTATAAAACGTTCAAAGGAAATATATGGGACAAAGGAATCGTGATATATAAAGGTGGGAATTTTCATACAAAATAAACACTGGACAAAATAAGGTGGGTGAAGTTGGCTCCCCCACTTTTGAAATTTTAATGATTTATCAGTGGACTGATTTGTACCGTTTTCAGTTCGATTTGTACCATCGCCGTTTTTGAGATATTCAAAGAACAAAATGGGTGGCCAACTTCACAACAGCCCCCCCCCCCACTTTTGAATTAAAAAAAAAGTGTATAGGTCGATAGAAAATGATTTTTACCGTTTTCAGTTTGATTTGTATCATTACCGTTTTCCAGCTATTGACCGTTAAAAATGAGGCCAAAAATTAAAAACTCAAAATTTTTTTTTAAAATTTCTTAATGTACAACCAGCGTCTACATGACAGGATTTTCACTGGATGCAAACCCCTTCAAAAACCTTTGCCTACCCCCCTAAAAAAATTACCGCCATCTGGCGGCGGTGTCTGTTTATTATTATTTTCACCTATTTAATTTATTGATACTCTTTTCAAGAATTTATAAAGGATAACTTAAATTAATCTATTTCTACGACCAACTATCGATATTTTGTGAAGATAAAGAATTTATTTTTTAGATAATAAATTCAATTAAAACCCCCATTATTTATAATGAATTAATTATTATGGCATTATGAGCTTGCTGAAATATCTAAACCTTAAATTACATTTAAAAGGATAGTTTTTTGAAAAACAATGTGTATGATTGTTTGCAATATATAGATTTGGTCGATGAATTGTATTATATTTATTCCATAATAAAAGTATTAATTTTGTCCTATTTCATCTCAAGATTTAATAGGTAACCCCCCAAAAAATTTCTCCTACCTCCATTAAAGCAGCTTATCCCCTCAAAAAATAGGATGCAAACTGTTCCCACCCCTCCCGCTCATGTAGACGCTGAACTGTAAATTTTTCCCTTTAATTTGTGTGAAGAATTTTTTTCTCTTCCTAATGATACCTCAAATTAAGTTTAATCTTCAAAAAATTTGAGTGTTTTTTATTTTTGGCCTTATATTTTTAACGGTCAATAGCTGTAAAACGGTAATGGTACAAATCGAGTTTGAAACGGTACAAATCAATCCCGTTTTCAAATTACGGTTATAAAACATAGCTGCAAACTCATATTAACAATTTAAAGTAATATAAATTGAATAATAATAAAAATAAAAGTTAATATATTACATATTATGTAACAACTTTCATTTGAATATTCTACTTCGTACTCATTATCATGGTTTTACTTATTCAAAAGCTCGATTAAAGATTGACTAGGCTTTCAATTTTATCTATTAAATCCGAAATTGCCTATATCTTGAACAGCGCTGGGCGGATCTTTAGATGCGTCTAGAACAATGAAATTCCCAGATGGTGCAGCAAAAACTTTATGCCGATTAAACCGAAATATTCATAACTTCATTGGAAACGGTGAAATTTACAATTCCATAGTCATAAAAGATTACTATCTAAATGATAGCTATAATTATTAGTAATAAAGGAGATGCAACTCAATTCTAAGATAAGTGGCTGCTTGTGAATTTTTATCTTTGAAGTTATCCGAATTTAATCAATATATTTTTTGTTTTTTTAAAGAAGCCAATTTTTATTTATTCAAATTTTATATAGTCTAATATGAAATATAGGAAAAGGGCAATAAATTTCTTGAAAATTATCATCTAAATATTCCCAACATATATAAATAATGAACGATAATCGAAAGAAATAAAAAACACTTTAAAAAAAATGTACATTGTCCCCTTGTTAGTTATGCGAATGATTGTGATATTCAATCAGGGAGAAAGGAAATAATAAAACTATCTTTTGGGGCTACTTTCCGGACTAGTTGATGTTAAGAACCTAGATTTCGCTAATTTTTATAAAAAGGCTAAATCAAGATTTTCACCAAACAAATATTTGGTTAAAAAATGCAAGAAAGTTGGCCCTCTTTTGGCAAAATTAAGGCTTAAATAATAATTTTTATTAAAATCTTGATTTAGTCGTTTTAAAAATAGGCTAAATCGATATTTGAATAACTATCCGGTACTAATAATTTATTGATGATGTTAAGTATGTCTTAGCCATATAAATCAAGGTTCTGTCATTTGACTCTAAGTCGCCTCAGGTCTAAAAAATTTTTAAATCGGGAAGGACTAAGTATTAAATTGGTTTAAAAAATCGAGCTAAGTTGGACATAAAAATATGAATTTCTTAAAAATAAAAATGATAAATATAATTTTTCTGGTATTAGGACAAAGCAATTAATAATTTGTATTTTATTTAACTTTATATAAATCTGCAATTTATATTTTCAATAAAGAAAATCTAGAATTAAAATATTGCCCAAATAAATTCAATTTGCAAGGCTCTAATCAAAATATCAATTGAATTTTTGTGTAACATCTGTTCTTTTTTTTCAATATAGGATAAGAATTAATAATTTTGCATCTTTTATACCCTGCATCAAACATTTTTTTTTGAAATCTGACTCTATCCAATAAAAGAAATTATTAGAATGCTCCGATCTTACCATAATTTTCAAATATCCGAGTCCAATCTGAACTCTTAGAGACCTGAGTTTGACATGATCCGAAAAAATGAAGCAAAAAAGTACTATTATTCAAACAAAATGGAAAAATATAAGCAGTAGAGAAAATTTGACTTTATTTAAAAAAATAATAATGATAAAATGAATTTAAAAAATAAAACAATTTAATGTTTTATAGATTAAGGTCCGGCCAAAACGAGTCTAAGAAATTGTCTATCCAAGTGGTATCGATACAGCTTCAATCAGATCTGACAGCTCTACTTTATACGTTTTTCATTATTTATTCTTCCGCCAAATAAGCATCAAAAATTTTTTGGTTGAAATGAACAAAAATTACACCCCCCCCCCCCCCCAATCCTTTCTAAATATATGTCAAGGTCGATATAATCTTAGGTCATTGATAATTTTATTTTAAATATAAATAGTCAATACAGGTATTATAATTTTTTTGTGTTATATAATAAATAAACGATTTGCAAATATAACTATAACTTTTTTTAAAACACATTTTTGCATTTAATTTCATGATAAAATGGGGTTAATATGACGAGAAAAGTGAAAAGGATCAAATAAACTTCCTTCTTTGATTCTTTGGCACAATTTATTTTTATAGCTAATATTTATAAATTTTAATAATATGTAGGAATAATAATATATACTTTTTATATAAATTATCTTGCTTTTGATAAATAAGCTTGTTGTTTGGATATCCATATTCATCGGGCATAATTTGGAAATGCTTAAATTTTATGTATTGAAATTAAAAGTGATGAAAAATGTTTAATATAAAATTGATAATTAAAATTCACAATAAAAAATTACTGATTTTACAAAAGGCATTAAAAAGTTTAAACTTATTTATAGTAATGCTGTAAACATTTTTAAAAAAAATCATATTCGACGTTCATTGACAAAAATCGAACATGTTCACGAACTATAAAATATTTTAAAACTCCAAATAATAAGAGTAAAATAATAAAATTATTTTATATTAAAATTAGTTTCTTTACTATAAATTTAGACATACAGTCAAAATTAATCATTGCCAAATTCTCCTGTTCTTTAACAGTTATAAAAGATTGTAAGATTGATGTCAATAAACTTTTCTCATTACAATTTTCAATTTTTTCATTTAATTTTTTGTTTCTCAACAAAGCTACAACAATGATATTTCCTTCTTTAGGAGAAACATAGTACCCACTCATCATGTCAAATGTATAATTTTTTATTTCATTATTTTGGCTTGAATCTGCTACTTGAATGGGCTGCACAGATTTTGGGTACATAGTTTTAGTTATATATCTCATCAATCCGATATAATGGTCGCCATTATTATAGGTAGGAGAGTAAAACTGCATGCATCTTATAATTTCGTCTGCATACATTGGAAGCTTATTACCATATGTCATTGATTTGTTTCTTTTATTTTTGTAAAAGCCTAGAAAATAAACTTGGATATAGCAAAAGTCAATAAAAAATATTATATATTTTATGAATTGATCTTATATCTAAATCATTTTCAAAAAGATTTATAGGTATAGCCAGGACTTTTCATACCTGGTCCCAGTTTCCCCTACAACAGAAAGGGCATGAAGCAACTGCTTCTCAAAATTTGAAAGGCAGTATTTTTTTTGAAAAATTTTTTATTTAGAGAATGTCCCTCATGAATATGAGATGGTACTTTTAAAAATAATTTTTTAATTTTTACAAAATGTTCTCAAATTATATATACAAAAAATCAAAAAAAAAAGAAGGGATATAATAGAAAATGGATTAAAATCGAAACTATATTCCAATTTATTGTATAATAATATAAATACCATGAAAAATATGATTATAAAAAATTTAAAATGGAATTGAATCTAACAGATGATTTTCAATTATAGTTGATAGTACATATGATGTTTCGAAATCAGAAGCAATAACTTTGTTGGTAGGATATATTGAAAATGGTGAAAGGCCTAAACTGTTGAAATATTTTTAGATATATTGTACGAGTATCATGGGCTTAATATTAAATAAATATAACATCCAAACTTAGTTCCTTGAATCTATCCTTCGAATTCTTAATAGGACAAAGCTATGATGGTGCTTCAAACATGAGTGAAAAAATCAATGAAGTACAGATTTTAATTAGAGCTGAGGCCTCAAAGGCAACTATTATTTGTTGCTATTGTCATCGATTAAATTTAATCATTATTCAATTATGATGCCAATAGAAAGAACTAGCCAGATATTTTTCACTTAAAAACGTGAGTTTTCTTTTATAATAATTTATGGGGGGCTTCGCCCACATATTCCCAATTTGCGGATAGGTTAATATGTTATATTTAATATAACAATATTTTTAAGACAATATTAAATTTAATATTTTTTATTGATTCACTATAATAACAATTATGATGTATTATTTTTCCATGTTTATAAATATAGCATAATATTAATTATTATATTTTATGGATGATTTTAAAAGAGGCAATAAAGATTTTCCATCGGCACTGTGGAGATAGGCTGAAAACTCTTTGCATGAATAGTTATAATTTTTTTAACCATTAGTTCCAACGATGATAAATGTAATCTATTATTCTAATGTCATAGGACTTAAGATATTTCCCTATATCATCTATAATATTATACCGTTTTTCTATATATTCTATAATATTTTTATAAGTATCTTTGATTCATTTTTGAAATTTAAAGCCTTTTCTTCGTCATTATTATGTTGTAAAATATTTTTGGAAATGCTCCCATAAAAATTTTGAATATTTAAATTTAACGAATTCTTTAGTTTTTGGATAAGAGTGTGTATACATTCCTAACATCTTCCGATTGTAATTGCAAATTTATGTTATTGACTAAAGTGCCAACGTTAAGGATAGCACCTAAATATGCCTCTGCAAAATCATCTTCAAAAAATATTTTTAAAATTGGTGGGGTTGATGATAATGATAAAAAAATTTTTTAAGGGGTTGATTATACTTAAGCATCTGCTCAATCGCTGGGATTAATGTAAGCCAGCGTGTTGGGTGGCAAAGTAATTCTAAATTGTAACTATTTTTGTCGAGTTGCTAAATTGATCATAACATTTAATTTCTATACTCTCAATATCATATTTGAGAAAAATTATGGCCTTTTTAAATGAATTATGAAGAATGTGGCTTATACAACCTATTGGTATTAATTATGGCTTTTCAATTCCGTTCAAATACTTCAATTTTTCCCAAAGTTTACAGATGCGTTATCTGCACAATAGGCCATTACATTAGCAATATCAAGTCCAGCTATTTTTAAATTTTCGAGCAAGCATATAGATATGTCTTTAGAGGTTTCACTGTCAGATGAAAAAAATTTAAGTAATTTAACAATTATTCCATTCTTTTTATTGAAGCATCTAAGTAATAAGGGAAATGTTTTTATATTACCTCTATTTGACGGATCCGTTAGTATTGAAAACGGGCGATTGTATTTTAGATCTTTTATAATATTTGCCCTTGTTTCTGGTGCCAAAATTTTTGTATTATTTTAGAGCCGTTTGTTCCGCCACATGAAAATATTGATACAATTATATAGTCAGGAAAAAGTGTGTAAAATAGCTTGCTTGAACAATCAGCAGACATATAGCTATGGGAATGTTTTATAGAATGATATACAAATGTTGTTTCAGCAATAACAGACAAGGTTTCATTCTTAGAATATTTGGTTACTATGATGATATAGAAGTATTGGTTCTAGATTGTTCATTTGTCAGCGTATATTTGTTAGATTTCATATGTTTGATTATATCATACTCTCCACTATGGTTTATTGAAAAGCGTGATATACATATTAGAGGTCTGCATTGGGCGGGTTTTTCGCCCACTCGCCCATACTTTGAAAGGGCATGGTCGAGTTTTTTTAAAATATTTTCAACATTTGGCGTATGGCTGCGGGTTGAAAAATTAAAGTAATGCGCGGGAGTGGGCGGGTAAATTTTTTTTAATTAAAAATAATAGTTTTATTACATAATATCTTTTAATACCATTAAAATATATATAAATCTCGTCTAATATTCCTAAAACATTTCGCAGTTCTTTTATTGATTGACATAATTGAACAATGATTAAATTTAATCGATGACAATAGCACCAAATAAAAGCTGCCTTTGGCGCCTCCGCTCTAATCAAAGCCTGCACTCCATTGATTCTTCCACTCATGTTTGAGACACCATCATAGTTTTGCCTAAATAGGAATTCAAGAGGTAAATTCATGGAGCCAAGTTTGGATATTATATTCTTTTTAATATCGAGACCAGTTGTATTTCCCGTACTTAGGTGTCTCACTATTTTCAACATATCTTACTAACAAAGCTATTGCTTCTGATTTCGAAACATCATATGTGCCATCAACTATGATTGAAAAGAACCTGTTAAATTCAATCTCATTTTGAATTTTTTTATAACCAAATTTTTTATGGTTTCAATGAGAATATTTATGTTATTATATGATAATTTCTTCTTCTTCTCTGTTTTATGGCGATTTTCAGGTTTACCCGAATAGGCCAGTTTTTTCTCTGATTTTTCTTTTCCATTTTTGACGCTCCTGAGAATCAATATTTGTAAGATTCATGCTTCTCATATCCGCCGCTATCATATTTGTCCACGTTATCTTGGGCCTTCCTCTAGGTCTTGATCCTCCTACTTCCATCAAGATGCATCTCTTTACCCACTCATCTTTTTACGTTCCACATGTACAAACCATCTTAGTCTATTTCGTCGCATTACCACTCCAATCATTTCTATATCCAATCTTGCTCGCAATTCCTAGCTAGTGTTTTTCTCTCTCAGAGATATATACACCACACATCCATCTAATCATCCTCATCTCTGTTCTTTCTAATTTGGCTTCGTGAGTCGCTTTCATTGCCCATGTTTCGCTGCCATAAACTAAACAACTCCTCACACAGCTTACGTAAACTTTCCCCTTTAACTTCAGTGAGATTTTTTTATTTGTAAGAATAGACGATATCTCTCTGAAATTCTTCCAAGCCAGAATCTACACCACCATCTGAGTTTAGCATATCACCAAAATAACAAAACTTATCCACTTTTTCTAGGGTTAACCCATTGCCAATATACAGACCACCATTATCTACGTTAACATTATTATGTATCCCTTTCAAACGTGTTCTACAAATAAAGGTCATTCTTTCTAACATCAAACTGTCTTTTTTCCATCTATTATGTACCCATTTTTGGCATCTGGTGCATTGGATTGAATTAGCAACTACTTTCCCACATACAGCACAAGGTCACTTACCGGATTCCTCCATCTTTAGATTTTCTCCACCAATCATCACCTTTGTCTTTGATGCATTCATTTTCAGTCCATTTGCTTCCATAGTCATCTTCCATATACTAATTTTATCCCTCAATTCTTCTTTGCCATTAATACAAGGTCATCTGCATATAATAGCTCCCAGGGAAGTCCTTCATGCATTTCTCTAGCCACCACATCCATTACTAAGATAAATAATAATGGACTCAGCACGGATCCGATAAAGTCCTACTTTCACCTCAAAGCTTTCACTATCACCATAATCTGTCCGTACTGCTGTTTGTGCTCCTACATACATTGCCATCACTGCGATACCCAACCGTTCCTCCACACCTGATTTTCTCAAGGCCCATCTATCAACCTCACGCGGCACCCTGTCAAATGCTTTCTCTAAATCATCAAACGCATAATAGAGTTTCTTTTCCTTCGCAAGATACTTTTTGTATTTGCCTCACCACAAAAATTGCATCTGTCGTGCCTTTTCCCGATGACCAAACTGTATTTCATCAATTTTAGTTTGTTCTCTTATCCGCTTCTCTAACACCCTCTCAAATACCTTCATTGCATGTTCCAAGAGTTTAATAGTTCTGTAAGACCCGCAATCTAAAGGATCACCTTTTCCCTTGTATCTGGATAATTATACTTCTACGCCAGTCCTCGGGAATAATTCCATCTGTGACAATTTGATTAGCCCATTAACCATTCAATCCTTAAGTCATCAGAACCTTTAAACATCTCTGATACCACCATCGTTAAACGCGATGCCTTCCCTTTATCTTTTTCACTGCTCTCTTTATTTCATCCTTGCTAAAATTACACCCTGGACCTTCTACCTTTGCACAACTAACATTATTATCCCATTCATTTTCTTCGTTCAAAAGTCCTTTCATGTAGATCTTCCAGTTGTTCTTAATACCATTACTATCAATTACCATTTTTCCTTCCATATTTTTCAAACATTTAACACTTACCTAACATATCTTGCCTCTTTTTTGCCATCTGCTTTGCCATTTAAACCACATTTCCCATTCCTTCAGTGCATTCCATTTTTTTTAACAAACTCCTGCCTTTTTTCTTTTTGAGCCTTCGCTATTAATTTCTTAGCATTTTATTTCGCCATCTTGT